TTAAGTATGAGTGAGAAAGTCCATTTCCATATATTCAACCTTGGCCTATGTTAAACCAGATTGTAATGTCAATTATTTGATGAAGGCATCTATGAGCAGTGAGCACCCAAAAAGAAATCATCATCATCAATGCTATTCTATCAAGGAAGCTTACTCTGCAGACAATCTGCGGAAAATGACATCAATGAATGATAATGCGGAAAATGAATAAGAATAAACTGTGATTTTTTATCTTCGAGACTCAATGCGGTAGACCTTTGATATTTCAAACTATCAATTCTGTTATGTCAAATAATCTAAGTTTAAAGTATCAAAGTTTTACACAGATTGTAAAGAGGTATTTCAGCTTGGGGAACAAGAAGAAGTCGCAGAGAAGGCCAGGTCCGAACTTTGGGAGAAGGGGGGGGGAGGGGTGTCCACCTTTTCTTGTTCCTCAAGCTGAAAAACAAGCTGCAGTGGAGAAATTTATCAGCGTGGAGACGATCAAGACTAGGTGCTCACCAAAAATAACTTCACCGGGTTCGAACTCAGAAATGGTTGGAGAGGCACCAAAAGTGAAGCTGGATCCTATGTCGAAAAATCATAAAAAATGATTTTTTTCTCTGAATGTATTTTTTTTCTCAGATATTCGCATTCTTGTATAATGCATTGTTTAATGTATAATTTATAATGTACTCCTGTATATTGTATAATGTATAATGTATAATGTATAATGTATAATGTATGGGGGGGGGTATCGGTTTAAGGTACAAGGGCAGGTGCTTCTCCTCCCTCCCCCCTCCCCCTGCTACTTCAGAAGCCAAATTTATAAAATGATTAAAAATTAATAATGTTTGCATATTGTTAACTACTTATATGATTATGTACAGAAATTATCTATTAATAATTCAATACATATATTCTATATATTCTAGGGTCCGGTATAGGAGGAGGTTTACGATTAATATCTATACAATACATGGTGCTCTCAATAAAACGTTGAAGTGCAGGCAATAATCCGAAGTCCTAAAGGTTTCATTAAAAAGCAGTATAATATTAACTTATAAAAGGCATCATCATTTTTGAAAAGTTTGAAGTCGCCTCTTTTTAGATAAAAGATTAAAGTATTTAATTTTTTTTTTGGCATTTTTTACAATCGTTATCATTTGTTCATATAAAAAGCTTTTAGGCTGAGGTTTTTTTTCATACCATCATACCATATTGAAGGACTCTAGACTGCCTCAATTTTCTAGACTGGGCCGCAACGATTTGTCCTTTGATCTTACCTCAATAATTTACTTATGCTTGATTGTAGCCCTAGACATTCATATTTCAAAATTATAAAGCACTTTTGGGAGAAATTCCATGGCAAACTTTTCATCTATTTTTGCAGGATCACTGTTGGAGGTTAGTGATAATTATCTTTTTAGCCATGGCGATCTAGAAAAAATAAAAAAGTTAAAAAAATTTTTTTATTATTTTAAAACCACTAAAAACTAATCGTGGATAAAAATAGATAGACAGCTTTCTAATAGTAGATTAAATTAAAAAAATGTGTTCTTGATTACCAAAAACATACAATACAAAGTTCATTCTGGAACACTCTGAACACACAATACAATTAAAATATATGATAATACAATATTGGCAAATTGAGTAGAATTAAAAGGGGTCCGAGGGAGGTTACTTAAAGGGACTGTTAAGGTAACTTGAAATATATATGATGAAGCCTAAACATTTTAGGAGTTGATCGCGACCAATATTAGTTTTTTCTGATGTCCCTGTCTCGAGAAATTGAAAAAATAAAAATAATAATTATATATTTCGCGTAACTTTACGCTTGCTAATTGGTATGGGTAGCCATTTTTCTGTAAATTTTGCCAATACGGGTTTTAGTAATTTTCTGATGAAATTTATTATCTCTTCCCTTTCAAACAATAATATATAATATAAGAATTTATTGCTAAAAATACACATACAAGTTATAATGTTACAGGCAAAAAATCTGCAACTATTTTTATATTGCTTACTATATTTATGTAATTCTAGCAATTAGGTGGAGATTAGCTATTTGCTGCTTTGGGTATTAACCCCACCTAATTAATATTAAAACGTTTACAATATGATGAATATTACTAGGTTTTGAAAGTTTACAATAAGTCAGTGAAATGTATAAATATACAGTGCTATTGTTTATAATGTATGAAAAAAACGATGTTTAAAACTAAAATTTTATTATTATATGAAAGGAGAATATAATGTCTTGGGATCCGAGAATGTAAAAAAATGATAAAATGTCCAACAAGCAAAACGCGGTGAACAATAGTGTAAGAGGAAGATAAAATAGAAGAGGGGGAGCCGGGAGGGGAAATTTTCAGTTGATAAAAGGAAAAATTGGTGAAACTGAAGATGCTAGCAGAAAAGTAAATCTAAGGTGTTTTAATTTGCTACATTTTAGAAAATATCACAATTATATTTGCAAATAAGATGGACTGTAGACGTAATTTCAAGTTTCTGTAGAGTGGTATGTATGATTCACAATGGTACCATTAAAAGATTTTTTGCTACAGAATCAATGAAAAGAATTGTCAAGATTAAACGCTTTTAAGCTAGAAATCTGAAGATATTTTCAATATAATTGAACAAATAAAAATTTAAAGACTATATTTGTGTATCGAGCATGGCAGTCGTTAAATGGACAGGACAGCATCTTTAAAACATATTTGTATACTAAGGGTCTTTAAAATTGTCTCTACAGTAACTAGCTTCGTTAACGGTTGGAAAAAATATTGAAACGAACAGGCTAATCATGTTTAGCCGTTCTTCACTAAGAACTTAACTTATAGTCAAGTAACGGTTTCAATTCGTTTGTCAATAAAGTTTTTGTTCGTTAATGATCTTGATTTTTTATGGCGTTAACGGTAGATATACCAAACATTCGTTAACTGGCTTTTCCGTTAATAGTTGGTTAGTTCGTTAACGTGAGTTGTAATTTAAATTATTGTTCATGGGTTGCAAGCAATTCAAACCATTTAAATTAACGAATTTTGTCGATAATGAAAAATATTTTTTTTCGCTTTTGTTTTTAGAACGATTCCCAACCTGGCCATTTATACTACAGACTACTCCTTTTAGCGTTATTTAATAAGTTAGAACATTAACTGTTGGAAAATTGTTTTATGATTATTTTCTTTGAATTATTTACAATTAACTTACTTAAACATTTAATTACTTCAAAATTGTAAATTAAAACTCTAATATTTTGAATTCATTTAACATAAATACAAAAAATATAAACTACGCAGTCATTTAAAATCATTTAATTCTTTTTCTTGTATCAATGATTTTAGTAGAGGGTTACCCACAAAAACGAGATTGTAAAGACGACCTAAAACTATTACAATTTGACAATCCTAATGGTTCATCAATCTTTCTGTCTTAAATATAGTCTTTTAATGGCTTATTAAATGATTTGGCAAAAAAATATGTTTACAGATGCAATTTAGGAATCATGAATATAAGGAAATTCTGTACAATCGTATTTGAAGTCTCATCCTTTGTGAATAACTCTGTATAAACGAGACTAAATAGAAATCGTCAAATTGATAAAAAAAGATTCCCTGCGATAAAGATTACATTACGTTTAATGCTCATGAGCGGATCTGATTACTAACCTGGAGGCTGAAACTCTAATTTTGGTATCTCCAACAGATGTTTATTACTAAAGGAGATTTTTACATGATGCTTTTTCATGGTTGGAATTCATTCAGGGTTTTACTAACATTATGCGATTCAACATCATTAAACATTAAACAATAACATTTTTTTCGAAAATATTACATACGCCGTACAAATCACAGAACAGACAGCAAGAATCCAATTGAACCTTGCTGGAATACCCCAATCTGATATCAAGTAGTTTGTTTGGGACCTATATAAAGAGATTTTCTCTTCAGGGGCGCAACTAGCCCTTTTGTGTGTGGGGGGGGGGGGCAACATTTTATTTTTCAAGGTCGATTTTTTTTTAAAATGAAAGCAATGTTTGAAGAGTTTAAAGTCGAAAAAATGTGTCAATTGTTGCAGGTTTGGCTCTGTGCTCAAAATATATCGATTTCTTAATATATCCTACACTTGCTTTGGTCTTACTTCCAACAACTTTAAAATGATCGGCATTCTTTCTAATTTTCTAGTGTCTCTTATGTGTTTTAATTTTTTCTAATTCATCCCTTAGTCCTTTTTGTCCCCTATACTAGTCCCTTAATTTGTCCTTTTTGTCCCCTATACTAGTCCCTTAATTTGTCCTTTTTGTCCACTATACTAGTCCCTTAATTTGTCCTTTTTGTCCCCTATACTAGTCCCTTAATTTGTCCTTTTTGTCCCCTATACTAGTCCCTTAATTTGTCCTTTTTGTCC